CCAGCGAGCGGCTCCCCAGCCCCGCTCATCCCGGAGAGTGACCTCCGGGTTGTGCCACCGGCCCAGCGCACCCCAGTGAGGGCCCCGGGCCACACCCCCAGACCAAACCCCAGCAGGTGCCTCCCCGCCTGCACCCCTGGACCAGCACACCCCAGTGAACACCGTCCCACCCATGCCCCCAGACCAGTATACCCCAGCCCCACCCAGGCAGGTGGGTGCCCTCCTCCCGTGCCGGGGTGCTCCCCCAGCCCCGCTCATGCTGCCCCTCTCTTGCAGGGAGGGCCCAGCAGAGCCGGCGAAGACACACCGGGAGTGAGCAGCACCAGGACCGCCAGGCACTGCCCACGCCATTAAAGCTCTGTGCCCTACCCGCCGCCCCTTGCTTTGGCACCCGCCGCTGTCACCAGAGAGGAGACCAGGATAGCCGGGCAGGGGCGTTTATTGGGGCCAGGGTGCCGTGCCCACGGTGGGCGCTGGCCTCACTTGGCCATGTAGTACTGGGTGGGCACAAAGGGCATCTTGGTGACGAGGGCTGGATGCTGCTTCTTCCGCACCTCGACCGTGAGTGTGGTGCCGGCCCGGCTGTGCGCCGCCTCCACGTAGCCCATGGCGATGTTCTTGCCCAGGGAGGGTGAGGGGCAGCCGCTGGTCACCGTGCCTGGGGACATGGGGAGGTGAGCGGGGGGCTGGCAGCTCCAGCCCCCTACCCTACCATGGACGCAGCTCGGGGCTGTCCCCATGCCAGCCCCCACCTACCCACAGGTGTGCCCTCGGGGCCCAGGATGGCTGTGTGGGGACGGATGGGGGGTCCCACTGATGTCAGTCCCACACGCTTGCGCTTCGGCTTCTCTTTCACTTGTGCCATGATGATAGCTGCGCCGGGGAAGTCCATGGCCGTGCGCCGGCGCTTCCCTACAGGGCCAAGATGGGCGAGGGCTGGCGATGCCCACCTGCTCCCCTTACTTGCACCACCCTGCCCACCCCGAGGAGGAGGAGGTGGGGGCAGACGTGGCCCCAACATACCCAAGGTCCACAGCAGCCCGGCCTCAGCAGGCGTGGTGGTCTCGTCGATGTCGTTCCCGTAGAGGCAGAGCCCGGCCTCCAGGCGCAGGCTGTCCCTGGCAGCCAGCCCCGCCGGCCACACCTCAGGGACATCTAGCAGCTGCTCGGCCAGCTCCACCGCCTGCCCCGCGGGCACCGAGATCTGTGGGGGGACAGGGAAGGGGCAGCGGGGCATGGCCTTCCCCTCCCTTGGTACTGTAGGTAAGGGGGTGCTGGCACAGCTTCCCAGGGTACCTCTACACCGTCCTCGCCCGTGTAGCCGCAGCGCGTGACCCGGCAGCCCGGCACACCGAAGACCATCGTGGTGATGCTATTCATGAAGGATAGCTTGGCTAGGTCGTCTGACAGCCCTGCCTGCAGCACCCGTGCCATGGAGGGACCTGGGGAGGCAGGTGGCTCTGGGGGATGGCAGCATCTGGGGAAGCGGGGGGATGTGGGGAGGGCACTGACATCCATCGGGGGAGGGCAGGCCCTTGTGGAGCCCCCTGCTACCTTGCAGAGCCAGCAGTGCGTTGTCCAACACCTCCAGGTGGATGTCAGCGCCAGTGGCCCGCAGCTCTGCTGCTCTGCCCTGCCAGGGGACAGTGAGCTGCTAGCGTGGGGGCCGAGCTGGTGGCAGCCCCGCACGTGGCCACGGCCACTTTGCCTCACGCAGCCAGAGACGTCACCAAAAGGTGGGAGGACTCCTTCCCACCCCGCGTCCCCACCTCCCGCGGGGCTCGGGCGGCCCCGTACCCTCATGATGGCCAAGTCCTTGTCGGCGCAGCCAGCGTTGGACACCACGTAGAGGTGATCTTCTGAGGTGTTGGTGACGATGAGGTCATCCACGATGCCGCCCCTCTCGTTGGTGAGCAGTGTCAGGGTGCCCTGCGGGATGTGGCCCTTGGGAGTGCGGGCAGGCTGCCTGTGTCCCCGCCCCCGGCCCCCCAGGGACCTCCGACCCGGTCGGACACCCGGTGCCCCCCCGGTGCCCCGTACCTGTCCCAGCTTCAGCTCGGCGATGTCTCCCACCACCAGGCTCTCCATGAACCTGACGCGGTCCCGGCCGTACACCCGGGTCTGGAAGGGGCCGGGGGTGGGGTGTGAGGCGGTGTGGGTGCCCCCCCCGGCCCCGGTCCCCATCCCGCCCCGGCTACCTGCGGCATGTGGGAGACGTCGAAGAGGGAGCAGCAGCGGCGGGTGTGCAGGTGGGACTGGAGGTGGCCCTGCCCGTAGTGCAGCGGCAGGCTCCAGCCGG